AGCCTCTTCTGTCCTCCACGGGCATTGCATGACACGGGTGCACTTACCTACATGCAGGCAATACACAAATACACATAAAAAGAATAAATAAAATATAAAACAGAAATCAGTTATTAAAGAATAACAGGATTGGTTCTTGTGAGTTATATATAGTTATTTTAAAAACATGCACAATGGATCTTTCTTAAATGTTAAAACCTCATTCAATTTTATGTCTTACAGGGTTTATACTGAGATCAATATTGCATAAGTGTATTAATTCCACTGTGAACCTAAAAATTACAGGCAATTTTGAAAAGAGATCCATCTTTGCTCTGGGAATTGTTATTGAACATGTCAATGCTCTTTTGTAATGAAATCCTTCTTCTAATCACGTGGTTATCGAATAAATAATTTTTAAAAGATACAGAATGATCTCAATTCTTGTTCTCCGTCCTTTTAATAAACTTCCAATTGAGAGTAACTCAGTATTTTACATTGTCCGCTTTGTTGTCATAGTTCCCTGGGAATTAAAGTAATCAGACCCTGTTTTTGAAATAATAGGATGTACCAAGCACATGTTTAACGTTCTCATAGATTACTCAACACAGGAGACATCGAAGACAAAGAAATGAGCAGAAATGGTGTTGTCAATTTCTATACATCCAATATTTTCTACAATTGTCCGTGTCTGAAGGTCCACATGAAAAATATTTTGTAACATGCCATTAAGACATAAGACTTGCAAACTTTGGGTCTTCCTATAAGTGTTTCAAAGGCTCAGGAAGGATTTTCACATTCATCAATAATGGGTCAGAAGTGGCTCAAAATGTCCTAGAACGCAGACATCAAGTTCTAGGGCCGCACCACACTTAACTACACATGGGCCCACACGCTACCTACATCTATTGAGCTCAATCCTGGTTTCCACCACACGTCATCACGGGAGTCCCGCACTCACCGTATATGCTGTAACTGCCTTCCGGTGTCCGCTGGCCCACGATGGTGATCAGTGTGCAGTTCTCCCCGAACCTAAAGAACGGGAAACAATGTGGTCCTTATCGCTCATTCACGTCCCACTCTGCTTGGCTTGAAGAACAGTACAGACACACGACGCTGCGTTTTACATGCTAAATCTAACAAAACCCTTCATACATCTGAATTTTCTATCACTGGGTCATTAGTTGTTTCACATTGCCGTGTTGCTAGAATGAGGAACTGTGGAAATTTTCAATGTTGGGATGGAAAACAGTTTCTGAGGATAAGCAGCGCTCTGCTTCTGAGTCCATCGCTGACCGGATAGCTCCGGTCTGCCCTGAGCTGGGTCTAGCAACTAAGACACACAAAATGCTGATGCTGGTTAAAAACATATAGAGAGATTTTTTTGCAGTCATGCCGTGACATGAATGTAATGTCACCAACAACATATCAAACATGAATACATGCGTTCATATACACACATCTACATATGAATACAGTTTATTTCCACCCTTCAGGACCTAGAATAACGAAGGCCACGTGCTAAGCATACAGACAACATCCGTTCATTAATTTAATACTGTGATCATATTGCAACCTGGGGAGTCCTTCCGTGCAGACCCAAACATTGAAGTGGATGAAACACAAGCTGTGGGTAATAGTCATAAATATTCTAAAGCCTCTAATGCAGCGGGCACGGTGGGACACGCCTTTAATCCCAGAACTTGGGAGGCAGAGGCAGGCGGATCTCTGAGTTCAGGGCCAGCCTGGTCTACATAGTGAGTTCCAGGACAGCTGGGGCTAGAGGGAGATCTTGTTTCAAAAAGACCAAAAGAAAAAAAAAAAATGTCTTATCACAGATCCGGGGACCAACATGGCTGTTGGCCCTGACCACAGCCTCCAAAGACATGAGAGTTTCCTCCCGTGTTTACACATTTACTATCACGGACCTGTCACCACAAGAGAGCCACATGGCACCGCAGTCTGCACAGAAACCGAACATGGCTTTACAGCAGGCGATCGTGCTGATGCTGTGCACACACTAAGAACACAGGCTGTGAGCACACACTCCGCATCCTCACGGAGACTCACCACTCCCCGAGCACCTGAGTGGGAGCCCAGTGTCGCCCTTCACCGCTCTGTCCCCAGGCTTTGGGGTAAACGTCACTTACTTGATGTAAAAAGACAGAGTGACGTTCTCACAACTTGGGGTGCATTCCATGTGGCGGTAGTAAGCTCTCAGGGGCCCCCCTTCGCTCGTCTTCTCCACGTTGTCCGCTCCCGTGTAGAGCGTGCGCCAGTCCCCATCCACCTGCAGGGGAAGGTCAGTGCACATAGTGGGTATTTCTTCACCAACACACGGTATAACTATCACTTCTAATTTATCCCAATTGAAAAAGTATACACTCTGCCCATGTGATGCAGGCCGCTCCTTCTCTCAGTGTAAAATCCTGCACCGTCTTGTAATAATTCTAACTTACATGAGAAGCTCTGATATCATGGTTTGAAATAAATACCCTCATGTTATGCAAAGTATACAGTCTCTAAACCATAACATTTTATCTTAGAATCATTCACAGGCTGAATAAATTTATGGGGCTGTGCGATGCATACAAGGAGAGAACGAGGATGGGTGTGAGAATGGGGGAATATGAATCATATTGACTGTCATTGAGTTAGAACCGTGTGTGGAGGATGCTGGCCCTGAAATACGCAGCGTGGACATGTATGACCGTGAATTTCCAGTCCCCCTCCCTGCCCCCGTCAGTGCTGGGATTCCTGGGCGGCACCTGCACTCCCTCTCTGTGCTGTGCTGGGAATGAGATCAGGATTTCATTCCTGCAACGCGAATCCTCCAGCAGAGCATTTCTTTGACATGTCCATGCACATTAATGTCACACACACACACACACACACACACACACACACA